TGGTACCAGTTATTCCTATAATTGTTTAATTGAAAGTTGCCATAATAACTATTTTTGGAGCCACTTTTATGATTAAGATTTTGAGTTTTTTAACTTTATTCGGTAATTATCGAGTCAATTATCTTTCAGACGAAAGGATATGTCTCTTGACATGAACTCGCCTTAAGACCGAAAAGAACTACTTTTAGAGCGGTATTTATAATTATAATAAGTTGAGTTTTCACAGAGATAATTTTGTTGATAGCTTCTTCGTCTAGTCCAGATGTAATTTCTAATTAATTAAATTTGGTGCTGTTTAGATGGGATTATAACAAGTAGCACTCTAATCTGAGATAGCCAATTTTGATGCGAAGCTATAGTTCTGCTGGCATGAAATTTCTAAGAGATTATTTAAGTGTGAGATTTCACATTCTTTAAAACATTCTGCAGCAGGCTTGACGGTTGATTGGAGTTTTTATTGAATGGTGTTGGATCTGTTTTTTTGTAGATCTATGAATTCTTATAGGTCCACTGTTCCAAGTGCTTTATAAGTAGTAGATGACTAAGTAGATGATAGTTTTGACATCATTTATATAATTTTATTGTTCTCATAATAAGTGCTAAGTTGATTACAGTCTACAGATAAAATCCATAAAATATATTTTTATTTTATCTTTGATTTATTATTTTGCGACTACAATGGTAACAGTTTTTCCCATAATTGTTTAATTGAAAGTTGCCATGATAACTATTTTGGGAGCCACTTTTATGATTAAGATTTTGAGATTTTTTACTTTATTCGGTAATTATCGAGTCGATTATCTTTTAGGCGAAAGGATATGTCTCTTGACATGAACTCGCCTTGACACCCAAAAAGGTTATTTGTCTATGCGAAATTGGCATAGCATTCTCAGTGCCTACATTCAATAGACTAGGTTCGACTAACACGCAAATGCACATGTACAAGCACATTCACATGCACATGCGCATGCACATGAACACGAACACGAACACGAACACGCATAGTAAATCTGGTAACTCGGCAGGGATTCTTCAAATATTTGTATATGCAGCGTCTGATTAATGTTTTTAGGACCGGGAGGCTATGTAAGGCTAACGGCAGACTGACAAACAGACAGACGATACAGTCAGTCAGTCAGTCAGTCAGTCAGTCAATCAGTCAGTCAGTCAGTCAGTTATTCAGTCATTAAGTTGGGGAAAGACATTGAGACTGACTTTTCCAAATGCCCTGCAGACAGACGGCTCGTGTGGGGGTAGAAAAGGCAAGAGTGGTACAATGGGCGTCTGCTAATTGTGTGTATGTATGTATGTATGTATGTATGTGTGTCTGTTGTCCTGTATGTGTTGGTGCTGCTAACTGTTTGTGTGTCTATTGTGTGTCGGTTAATTTGGCCGGTCGGTTGAAGAGACTCGAACTTTAGGCCACTTGGTACAGATTCCATTTCACACGACGCCCGGTGTGGGGTCCACATTTAGCACAACTCCTTTTCACTTCACACGGTATTGGTAGACAGACGGACCCACGCAAGTACCAACGCACAGTTGTACCGACAAATAGACACACTGGCAGACGGAAATATGGACAAACGGAAGGAGAGACGGTACCAACTGGTACACACACACACACACGCACACTCGACAATGCCTGTTTGCCCAGAATGCTGGAGGGAAGAGGTTGCACACCAAGTCATGTGGACCCTCGACAACTGTAGTCGCACACACTCACACTCCCACCCACACACACACACACACACACACACATGTGGGCTCGGCCAATCGGCCTGCTTTCGCGTCACTCGGCTGCCCCCTCCTGCGGGCGGACAAACACACAGACATACAGACATCCAGACAGACAGACAGAGCGACAAGTGAACATGCTGGCCACCGGTTCAGTTGATAGGGCAGTCGACGTTGTCGAGGCCTGCTCTTGGCATCCGACCTCGCCAGCTGCCCGGTTTCCCAGACGGCGGATTATGACCAGCCCAGTCGGGGCATCGCATCGTTTGGGATTACCGCTTCTTGCGTGTCAATGTGCCCTTGTCAACCGTCGACTGGCCGGCTTCGAGGCGGCCGCATGTGAACGGGACTCGAGCGCGCGTCGTCTCGTTGCACGGCCGCGCGCACATGCAGCCGCGCCGTGTGGACCGCGATGAACAGCCCCGTCTGGCCGCCCACTTAGCCGGCCAGCCGCGTCTGCGTCTCATCTCTTCAACTCGTCCGCTTTCGACATGTTCTGCTGCCTCTTCCTCCTGCTCCTCTTCCTCTTGCTCCTGCTCCCCTCCGG